CCTTTTCTCTTTAACCCTTCTTTTGGCTTTGCTTTTGTGAAATGGAGGCATTATTCTCCACCACCCCCCCCCCTTTTTTTTTTTTTTTTGTAAAATGCTGCTATGTATGTGTAGCTAGAGGGAGGCTGATAAAACTTCTGTCTAAAACATCTGAAAATTATAAGGAGTGCACATCTTGGCCCTAATTTTTAGACGTTAGAAAAGCATTGTCTTCTCTGTATATATTTCTGTTTTGAGATCTGCAGCTCTCCTCAATTGCACAGCTGAAGTTCCTTCCGCTGAAGGCGTCTTTGGCCTATTTGTGTTTCACTTTCCCCAGCCCCTTCTGTGTTAAAGTGAAAGAGAGACTGTCATGCACAGATCTCTCCAGCCTTCAGAATCTCCTCTCCTGCCGCCCTTCTGCTGCCCTCCATGCTCAGAAAAGCCAGTTTTATTTGTTGTATTGCCTCAGAGCCCTTTTCATACCTTGGGAAGTGAGTTGAAAGGCACCTGAATTTGCAGAGCTGTTGATGGTAGGGTTCTGTTTGGTTTCTCTGGAGTTCTTGGCTTATGAGAATGGGCCCAGCCACAGTGTTTACTAACTGGTCTCAGGCCTGTGACATGTTGCTCTTGTCAGGTGACAGTGACTAGCTGAGGTCACAGACAGTCCCTAAGCTGCCTTTAGTGCAGTGATTTGGAATTTTCAGCTCATATTTATTGCTTTTGTGAAAGACAATAGACATGGTTTAATTTAAGTTCAACCTACTGAATATTAATAGAGGAGAACAAATGGTAATGTGGGGAGACTGAATCTTTGGGCCATTCAATTTCCTGTTTAACCTCTTTTCTCCAACAAAGAGTCCTGTTGATGACGGAGGGCGTTGGGAAAATCAAATGGGTTTGTGTTTAAAGAAAGGCATGCCATTTTATAATTTTTCACTGACTAAAAATAATAATTACAAAATTGGTGGCAGACCTTTGTTAGGAGAAGCAAAGGCCACACACAGGAGCTTATCTAATGTTAACAATTATGGCTCTTTTGCCCTGTGGAATCGTGTTCCCAATCTGGCTCCCTTGGATTGGGCAGGCATTAAAGTCTGGATTAAAACATTTAACAGGAAGTGGGGGAGCCCCATACCGCAGAGGTGAAGTGCTGGAGTACTGCGGAAAGGAAAATGCCCAGGTTTATCCAACCACGCAGACTCATTAAAAATAAGTATAAATTGGCCCTCCCTGGTGGC